TCGACAATATGCAAAAATTACGGTGTTGTAAGAAATTTTATCTGGTTTTATTCCCTTTGCTAGGATTTCTTTCAGAACTTCTTCTGATCTCTCAAAATTCTCTGATCGGCTGTGCATATACATCAAACTATTGTAAGTTGCCAAGCTAGGAGTGAATCCACTCTCATTCATGAAGTTCAAGATCTCATTTGTTTTGGCAAACATCTGCCTCCTGCCATATATAGAAAGCATGGCATTCAGAGTACTCAAGTCAGGAGAAAAACCTTTTCTCTTCAACTCCAGGAATGCAACCTCAGCTTCTACCAGTAGGTCACATTTACTATTAACTAAAACAAGGGTCTTCAAGAGTACGGCATGGGGTTCAATTACACCAGAGCATATCTCCTCCGCAAGAGCAAGCATCCGCCCAATCTCCTTGCCATTGGCATAAGCATGAAGCAAAGAACAGTATGTCAGCTCATTGGGCTTGCACCGACCATCTTTCATTTCAGCGAGTATTTTCTCCGACTGTTCCCAGAGCCCTCCTCGAGCTAATGCTGCCAAAACAGCATTATAGGTGGAAAGATCAGGTGTAATCCCAGCTTCCAGCATTCTCTTGTATATATCCATGGCTTGGTCAAATGATCCACACCGGCTGTACGCACTAATTAGGGTGTTGTAAGTGTCCCTCTCAGGTACAAAGCCAGCCCTCTTCATCTCCTTGAAAACTCCAGACACTTCTGAATCCATCCCATTTTGCCCAAACACTGCTAAAAGGGTATTCCAAGTAACAATATCTGGTACGCAACAGGAACTTTTTATCTCCTCAAAAACCTTCATCATTTCTGCAAACTTTCCCCTGTTACCATGCATCTTAATCAAGGCATTGAAAGTACAAATATTAGGTTTGCAACCTGCTGCTCTCATTTCAGCAAAAACCCTCATTGCAGACTCGTCCTTACCAGCCCTCACAAATCCTGACAAAAGCGTAGTGTAAGTAAAAACATCCAGGTTAATCCCACCTTCAACCATCTGGTTTTTAAGCTCCATTGCTTCTTTCAACAGACCATCTCTTGCATAGGCAGATATCAAGGAATTATAAGTCACAATGCTTGGTGAACATCCATTAGCCTCCATTTCTCTTAATACCTCCATGGCCTCCTTAGTCCGCCTTGACTTCCCATAAACATCCAATAACGCATTATATGTGACCTTGTCAGGCACAAAACCCATCGATTTCATATCCTTGAAAACCGCAGCAGCTTCTTCATGCAAAGATCCTCGTCTACAACAAGTTATAAGCGTATTATATGTATACTCATCAGGCAAAACTCCAGCATTCTTCATTCCCTCAAACAGGCCTTTAATCTTATTCCAAGGCATGCCCATTTTCCCATACACATTCAAAATGACATTATAAGTAATCAAAGTTGGTTTGCACCCTTCTTCCTCCATCTTCTTAAACACCATCACAGCTTCCCTATACCTTCCATTACTAACACAAGCGGTGATTAAAGATGTATAAGAATAAACATCAAGTCCAAACCCATCTTTATGCAAATCATTCAACAAAGCCGCTGCCACTGAAACTTTTCCTTCTTTACCAAGCATACTAATAATCACAGCCACAGCTGAATTACTCAAAACAGATCCACAATCATTCCTATTCTTAAACCACTCAAACACGCTCATAGCCAGGTCACGTTTTTTATAAAACCCTAAACCCTTAATAACACCCAAAACATCATTACTTAACCCCTCCTTGCCACCGCTACTTAAACTCAACTCTTCTTTATGGTAATCAAGTAAAAGACTCAAGATTTTATCTAATTCACTGCTTTCAAAAGATGGGTCATTTAAGGAATCAAGAACTCTCTGACCTTGAAGGGAGAGGCGATGGTGGGTCCAGGGTTTGCCACGGTTTCTGTCACGGGCCTTGCCAATTCGGGTTCGGGCTCTTGGGATGGGAAATGGGTCAGGTTGGGTTTGTGAGGCGATGGGTTTGGAAGGATCAGAGCTTTGCTTAAAAAGGAAGTCCTGCATAAGCGGCGTGCCATGCTGAGGTGGTGGTGAAGTGGACCTTGTTGGTTTTAGCTGTTGATGGTGGAGGTGAGTTTGGATAGGGAGTGAGGGTTTTGATGGAGGTGGGTTTGAGAGGAGAAGAGGCAGAGCTAGTTTCTCTGTCATTTTTAGAGTAAGAAGGGGTTGGGTGAGTTCCAAGGATTATAAGTTGGTTTTTTTCGTTGAGTTTGTGTTTGTGTTTCGACTTGATGGCAAGATTTTTTTGTGCGGTCTTTTGACTGGAGGAGCATGTTGAGATACTCAAGGTGATTACCTCTCTCAATATGGTGGAGGTTTGCAAGGTAGCAGACAAGAATATCTCCCAAAAGACTAGCTTGCCATGTCAGCAAGAGTTGATTATCTGATTTGGAGGAGAGAAAAAATTGGCAAAGAGCAGAATCACTTTGAACACTTAACCTAATCTTATAAATTTAAACAAAGAAATTTTCAATTCATACCTCAACACGGGCACTCGTGTTCACCTAAACATCACGATGGGAATTTTTTAAGCTGTTCGGACTCGAGATTCAGAGGAAAGCATTTCACGCATGGAATCCCAATCAGAAGTTTCGGGTTCAAGTCTCTCTCCAATCTTGTGCTTATATATAAGCACAAGATTGGAGAGATATATATAATCTTGTGCTATATATGTACATATACTGTAGCTATGAATTATCTGCATTGTGGACGATACCATAATACTTATAAAAAATATTATTTTTGATGTGTTTAGTACAAAAATATATAGCACAAAATTGGAAAAATATATATAATCTTGTGCTATATATGTACATGCACATTGTAGCTATGAATTATCTACATTGTAGATGATATTATAATACTTATAAAAAGTGTTGTTTTTGATATGTTTAGTAAAAAAATATATAGCACAAGATTGGAGAGAGATATATAATATTGTGCTATATATATATATATATATATATATATACACATAGTATAGCTATGAATGACACTATAATATTTATAAAAATTGTTGTTCTTGATGTGTTTAGAAAAAAAAATACTACTACTTATTATATTATAACCACAAACTATTTATACCGTGGATTACTTTGTAATGTCTATGAAAAAGTATTGTTTTTTCTGTGTTTAGTCAAATATTGTTACTGAAAATATTATTTTTTCTATTTTATATGCCAAAAGTTAATAGATCTAGCTCAATAACTAGACTCAATGATATTAGATCTAGCTTGAAAGCCAAACTCAAATCGCTTCTAAAAGGTTCCAATAATATTAGGTCATGTTACCCATCAGGACCTAATAATATTGGTTTCTAATAGGACTAAATAGCATTTGGTCCAGATATTTTCAATTTTATTTGTTTTTCTCTTTAGATTATTTTCCTTTCTTCCTACCAAAAGTAGTCATGAGAATAGTAAGGAAGAGTGTCTGCTATGACTATGGCTGGAAATCAAACTCTTTCCTTTTTATTGATGCCAGTTTATTCATTAGAAAAACTGATTCTTGACCTGTTATTGCTTCATTCATGTCAACCGAATCAGAGAAGTTTTTAGAGAAGGGGCAAGTGCTAATCTTCCCTTTTTTTGTTAAGTGAGAAAAAAAGGACAAATAAAGAAAAAACAACTTGGCCAACTAAAGGAGAGAGCTTTTTAAGCAACTTAACCTTGATGAGCTGAGTACTAAATCTTTTATTACCATTCACTTAAAAACCTTATCTAAGCACTTTGACCAAGGAGAGTGAGGGGAAAAAAAGGTATTAGATTGTGTTTTACAAGTAAGAAAAAATTTGAGTTTTGCCTTTAGTAAGATTTAAAATAGCTTTGGATTCACTTGTGCAACAAAACCCAATAACTTTAGGTTTGGTCTTAACTGGACCCATCAGCGCCAAGTCTTACCTCAACATTATCAATCAGTATTAAGTCCTGCTCCTAGCAAAACCCCATAACTTTGAGTCCAAATCCATTAGAGTTGGATCCTGCCCCCAGCAGAACTCAAGCAGGACCTCATGGTTTTAGGTCCGGATCTATTAAAATTAAGTCCTATCCTTTTAGGACTCAAAATAACTTTGGAGTTCGTTGTCTAGCAGAACCTAATAACATTGGATCTAACTTCCTACCATAACCCAATAGTGTTTAAGGCTAGACTTAATTCAGTGTTACCAACAAGACCTAACATTTTAAATTATTTTTCTTTTCTATTATGTAAAAAAAAATATCCATATAGTAAAGAGAAAATAAATTTATGAAATTTTTTTTATATTGTATAAAAGTTGAGTGATGATAATTTTTTTTATTTGAGATTGGATTGAATTTTCTTATTAAAACATGTTTGTTTATGCTTTTTGAAAATATTTTAAAAAAATTGAGAATTTTTTATTTTTTTAATTCAAATTAATATTTTTGATGTTTTATATTATTTTGATATGATGATATAGAAAATAAATTTTAATTTCATTTCTTTTATTAATTTTTTTTATACGGTAAAGTGAAAATAAATTGATTGATGATAATTTCTATATATTTTGCACAAATTGAGTAATGATAATTTTTTTCATTTCTTATTAAAACATATTTATTTTTACATTTTAAAAATACTTTTTGAAAATTAAACTTTTTTCCTTTACTTCAAGTTAATATTTTCTCTTAAATTTTTTTCTATTCTCTTTTTCTTATTCAGTAAAAAGAAAATAAATTGATAAAACTTGTTTCATATTATTCAAAAGTTAGTTAATGATAAAATTTTTTTAGTAAAACATACTTACCTTTGAGTTTCAAAAATACTAACACATTAAAAATGGAGATAAATGTAGTATATGCATAATTTATTTCAATAAAAAATGAAGAACTCTAAGGAGGAAATCCCGTGTCCAGAGGACTTGCAAGAGACGCTTGATAATTTGAGGTAAGTTCTTCAGCTTGTAGATAAGAACTACCTAAATGAATAACAGGAGCCAGTTTTACGCACGCAAAGAAAATATATAGCCAGAACCACAGCTGCTGCATCCTTGATTCAACCTAAATTAAGATTCATCAACAGAAGCATAAACTGCAGACAGCAATATCATCGTGAAAATCCTACTATTTAGGGGATCCATAAGCAAAATCCTTAACAAGGCTAGTTCTGTAAGCAAGTACTAAATTGAACTAAAAACAGAAATTGCCGACAGCAGCAGGCATAATTTTGGCTATTATCATCAACAAAAAAGATAGCCCTGCCACAGGAAGGAAAGATGATCCACGAAGACTGGAGTTCATCCCCTTGAACTTCATTTGAGGAAGTGAGGACTAATCAACCCAGCAATCTCAAGAAATCCGACCTGGTCTCTACCAGGAAATATCTTCTTCAACTTCTCGTCACAAATTATGTTCTTCTTGTTACTAGGGTCCTAAAAACATTGCAGCAAGTCCAGTCAGCTCCAAATTTATGATATAGTCATATATGCATGCATTATAGATGTTCTATGCAATGGCTCAGAAGCAGCTAGAAGAAGAAACACCAAGTCATGTTTTCTTTCAACCAAATTATTTATCCGGAAGTTAACCATTATAGTGAAGGGCAATAGCTGCTTGGGAATAACATGCCAACAACCATTCCCCACGTTTGGCATCATAATTTTATCACCACTGCCTGGCATTTTCACATTAGTAAAATCTAGTGACTTCTAATTCAGCCACATACATAACATGCTGCGCATGGCTGAATCAACAAAGCACTACATCCCACATTCATGTACTATAGACTTGAAATTATTCGGAGTCATTTCTCAAACTTGACGCTATCTACAAAGTCATGTCTCAACCCAAATTCATGTGATAAAATCCATCCCTAACATGAGAGATGCTCTGTCCATACATCATTGTATTCAACAATAATCATCAGGCCATGTGAGTAACTCAACTCAAAATGAGATTAAACCTCACTAAGATGATACTCAACTCGAGATATAACAGCAGATAAGCCTAGTCAGCATAGAAAGAGATTTCAACAACAAGTAGATCCAAAAACACATGACATGTAAGAGCAACAAAAACACTCAAGCAATCACGCTATGTCCCCGTCTTTTTTCAAACCAAGACACCCTATAAAAAATATAAGGCCAATCTAAACATTCAATGTATCCGAGTCTACTCGGATATAGCACACTCAACAAAACATCATGGATCCTGAAAATCATAGATGAGGCATAAAAGATAGCAAACAAACATTACCCAAAAGCCCACAATAATTCAGCAGCCAAACAGGCCAATAGCATCATCCAAAACCACAAACGAAACAAAGCACAAAACATTTTAGAACTGAAATACGGTAATCGCATAACCCACGCTTCGTTCATAGCAACCCGTAACGGAACTGGAACATTTCCCTGACACCGCCACAAACATGACACATCTCCTGCTAATTAATTAAATAATCAACAATATAAAAACCCATGAACAAACACAACCCACATTTTACGGTCTCAACACAACCTTATCCAAACATTTAATTAAAAATTAAGCACGAAAAATAATACGAACCCAAAATTTTAAATAAAAATGCCGAATTTTAATCAAAATATACCTGAAGATTGCGCTCCTTTATATGGGCCCAGATAAGCTTGAGAACCTGGGTGCGAGAGACCTCAGGAGCACCAACAAAGTCTGCCATTTCAGGTGAGACTCGCCTCGGCTTCATAATGCCGCTGGGAGCGCGGTTTCCAGTCGACGCCGTAGCGCAGGTAACAACAGTACGACCCATGCGCAGGTTAACAGGACGCGCAGCCAGAATCCTGAGAGAAGGAGAGGATGTATGAAATGGAGGCTTGAGAAGCGGCACCGTTTCGGTGGATAGGAAAGGAAAGCAAGTCCTTGAAGAAATTTCCATTTGAAAAAAAAATTTGGAGATGCTTAGGTTTCTGAGAGAGGAGAGGGCTCTGAGTTATCTTGATTTTTTTTTTTTCTTGTTCTTTTTCAGCTTCTAATTTTGGTGTTTTGATAGAATATGAAGAGAGATAAGGGTTTGAGTGTGTGAGTGAGGGAGTGAGAGAGAGACAGAATTTGGCTGATCCCGCCTTATTCATGACGTGGACAGTGTTTATTTTTTACGTCGAGAAATTTTAAATTGTTTTTTAAATTAATTGTTTTTGTCTTTAAAGTATTTTAAAATAATAAGGTTTAAAATAAATTTTAAAAAATAAAACATATCAATTAAAATAAAATATAATTTTTAAACAAACCATTATTATAATTTCAAATATTCATTACTCTATTTTTTAACTTTTTCAGGATTGTTAAAATGACTTACATGCCCTCTATTAGGCAGGCACTGTAGGAAGGATCATGTGATTTTTGTTGGGTTAAGAGTGTCCAAGCGTGATGACATGACAGACATCCTCAAGAAATTTGGGCGGTAGGAGGATGGAGTTGGGCTGGGCATATAAATCCAGTTCGGCTCCTAAGAATTAGAAATAGAAGTAAGCCCATAAATGCTTAAAAATAAGTGGCTGTGGGCTTCATAATTGGGCTTTAACTTTCATTTCATTCCAGAGTTGGGCTTACGTAACAGACAAGTTGACAAGAAGCTGAGGACTTTTTCTATTTTCTCTTGGGGTTTTTTTCAGACAAAAAAGATAGTGTTTGGGGTAGGATAACGTTGTTTTTTAAAAATATTTTTATATTAAAATAATATTTTTTATTTTTTAAAATTTATTATTTTTGTTAGCATATTAAAATAATTTAAAATTATAAAAAATAAAAGATATTAATCAAACGCAAACACGAATAACTGTGAAGCTCACAATGCAAACAGGAAGACTTCTAACTTGTGGATCTATTATGACGTCAAACAAAAGAAAGTCCTGGCGAGAAGGCATTCCATGATCTTTAAAACATTTTCTTTTCATTCTGTAACAATAAAAACATTTGTTGTGTTAATGCAAGGGTGCTGGAGCTAACTTTTACTTGCCAAGACTCCATTATTTCTTAGTGAGGCTTTAGACAAGAATACAGTCTTAATCTCAAATTAGGTATACACAATACCAATCATGGATCATTGGTTGGAGTGATTTTCTCTTAAATAAAATCTTGAATTCAAGCTTTGTGAATGAAACACATTATCCTGTAATCATCGCTGTAAGAGCTTTACCTCTCAATAAGCTAAACCAGCTTGACCAGATTAATCAGGGTTCAATAAACTTCTAAATACGAGTTTTTTTTATAAAAAAAAAACTAACTATACACAATATGAGACAAAGATGTTGATGAACAGCTCATACCGCTTCAGAAGCATTCTTTCATGTGTTGGGCTTGATATGGATGCAGATCCAATATTACTGCATATCGATAAGCTTACCCAAATACAAATAACCCTAACTGGCTTAATATGACTACAAACAAAGATTTGGACTTAGAGGCTTCTTGGTGGCCCAACATCCCCAAGACATGCATTCATGATTCAGGCTTAGGGTTCAATACCCTGGAGGCATAAGCCCATGAGGTGGCCTCGGGGTTCTCAGATGGTCTATTATGTTCTCTGAACAGTGAAAGCCAACCGGGATCATGTATCGAGTCACGTTTTAGCCAAATTTATCATAATTAAAACGCGCAATACAAATTAAGTTGCTGTTGAAACACATTATTATAAAGCTAGCTTTCGATTAATTAAGAGGTAGGAAGGAGGTCAATTTAAACACAAGGAAAGGAAACAAATGGGCCAACAAGAGGAGGATAGCACGCTACCATCATTCATCCAGCAGGAAATTCTCGTTAAAGTAAACTCGGCCCCTCCACACACTACCTTTTACTCTACTCTGGGCTACATGGACTTCGGAGCTACCATTTGTGTGAGCATGAACCGTGCCTGGTATGGCAACGTTTCAATCCAGACCAAGGCATTCAAGATATGATATTCTCGCCGTGTAGAATGCGAGCAGAATTTTGTGTTGTTACTCAACCGAAGCGTACTCGTAAGAAAAACTGGGGTTAATTTGCTGTCAATGGAGTTATCGAGGAGGTTGAGAGGGCAAATCCTCGACAGGCTTTGTAATGGCATTTCGATGCATGCGGACATGGTTTCGACGAGGGATTGAAGAAGAAGCCATTACTCTTGGAAGAGCTAGCTAGGTGCATGCTAGCAATATCAACTTCATGAGTTTTCATGGAAAGCCCTGCCAGTCGCTGGTTTTTTTTGTCTTGAAAATAATTAACCACCTAAATTACTGCTCTCGCAACATGTAGAATTAATCTTCACTTTTGCGTAGGACTTCTTTTCTTCTTTACGTGTAAACGAGTCGTATCCAAATTTAAAGATTCATCAAAACTCTACGTGCCCCTCGCAGTCACTTAATTTTGAATTTATATATATATATCACCAAGAAAACAATGCAAACCCTAACTATTAAACCAATTCCTTTATATTAGATACAGTAGTTAAGATTTCTATTATATCCTATCCTTTTAATCATATCTTTCAACCATTCTCATCCAATACAATTATCAACAAAGATTTATCTCAATAAAATTGTAACATGTTTTTATTAAAAAAAATTGATTTTTTTTCAAAATTATTTTTTTATGAATTATTTTGATCTATTGATATCAAAAATAAAAAATATATTATTTTAATATAATTTCAAATAAAAAATACTTTAAAAATTAACATTTATTACAATGTCAAACACTACATTTATTTTAATTTATTTTAATCCTATCCTAACTTAATAACATGATTCAATCATATTTTTGAAATTTTTTGAATTTGTTTAACTTTAAATTAATTCTTTTTATATTGTTAAATTGTTTTGATATGCTATATTAAAAATAAATTTTAAAATATAAAAAAAATATTATTTTAATATATTTTAAAACTTTACTTTAAAAACCAATTATTATTACAATAACAATCATTTGTTGAAGAAAAATACATTTCATTGCTCCACCAAACCTACATGTGCAGCGAGAGTGTTTTTAATTTTTTTACTTATCTCCGGGTAAAAAACAATGCATGCCCACGCACTACCGTGGCTACGGAATGCCACTGCTCTCCGACCATCAATCTCCCGGCAAAAAAGAAAGAATAGGGTAATGGATTGTTATAATTAGACGTTTGTTATGAAGAAAAAACTACAAACCTGCAAGGACTTCTGCGATGGTGATAGGTCAATCAAAATAGGGCCCATAATTAAGCCATTAATGATCATAATGTAGGCGAGTTCTGTGGGATCTTATAAAATGAACCTCTTCCTTGATCATGTTACAGAAAAAAGATGATCAAACAAAAGGATTGGGATACAAACAAAGATCATCTTCCAATTTTATTTTATTTTTATATGAATTGGTATAACACATAAAATTTAAAATAATTGACAAATTAACATAGTATCAAAAATTTTAGTGAAATAATATAGTTTATCATATTGTATTTTAAAATAGTGATATTAAATAAATATCATATTTTCTTAAACATCATATAATCAAATTACATTATTTATGGCCTAATTATATTAATAAATGTCATGTTTATGAAATATAACATTATCAAATCATGTTATTTATGATCTAACCAATCGACTAATTCTGAAGATAACAAGAAAAATTTTAAAATATCAAGTATTTTCGTCAAGATTTTTAGTAATTAGACATTTGAATGTCTGTGTGGTGACATAATAACTAATATAAAGGATGTGACTTGAGTGTGATTTAATAGTCATATAAAAAATTATAATTTTTTTGAATTATTATTTTAGTATGATATGGTCAAACCTTCTTTTGATGTCAGACCTGTCATACTAGCCTATATAATCTATTTGGGGTAAATTTGTATTTAGTTATGACAAACTCATACTTGACTAATCAAAAACACCTACTATTATGTGAATAATAACTTTTAAGATTTTAATTGATATTTATTTTTGAATTTATAAGTTGGATAAAAATAATATTAACTTATAAAATATATTTGAAAGAAATACTTTATAAAATTATAATTTTTATATAAAATTATTGATTGATTAATACAACTAGATATGATCCATCAACATGTTAAGATAAAAGATTAGAGTTTAACATATTATACTTGATTGAACTGTATTATATCATCAAATTACAATTAAAATAATGTTATTTTATGAAAAATTTATTATTATTATACTAATTTCTTTATAAAAAAACATTTTTTCTCTTGGAAACTCTTTACCAATTTGGGCGACACACGTCAACCAAGTTTAAGGATCCATCTCACTCAACAGGCTTTTAGGACATACCCAAAAAAGGGCGTTGTTCTGCGAGGCCTGGTTACAGTGTCGTTGCTGGAAATCTTACAAATTCAGCTCTCGTTGTCATCAGTTTATCTGTATGACTTGCATCTCTAAGTCCACTTATAAGTGTTTATTGTTCAAATCCTTCGACAAGTTGGAAGAATTTTTTTTATTATTCTTTTCATTATAGAGTATTATCATGTAAGTTTGTATATTGATTAAAATTGATTTTTTTTAATAGCTTTGACAGCACATCTTTTATACTGACTTGATGAATTCATTAAAATTTTTTTTAATCTTGTTTAAAAATACCATTCACGAGACTTGAATCGAGAAATCAAATAAAGAAAACGTGCCTCTTTAAGAACCACACCAAACTCTTAACATTACAGATAGTCGAAGATTATCTTGCATTCAAGTTGATTCGAGGGCAGCTATCACGGCGAGACAGCACAGCATGGCCCACCACAAAAGAGGCGGTGCACCTACATAGCATCTACAGTCGGTGGGCTATAGACAAAACTTCAGCGTAAAATAAACAACTGCCAGTGCCAGTCCAGTGGCGATGCTATGATTAAGGACAAGCTCATATGAAGGAAGGCAGGGTCCGCTAATCATAATCCTGTAGACAAGCCCTGTTGATTCTTTACTAGCGAAGTTAAGTGTTAGCTAGCTTGGCTCAGTGCGGTAAGAAGTTGAAAAGAAGAGACAAGAAAAAATAAGATGGAGGTTTTGTTGCATCTTGATACGAATAAGGGTGTGATTGGAGTATAATTGTGGTT